ATTACAAATCTTCTAAATGCTTACAATATTTAAGATCATTTTTCTGACAAGCCATTTACGATAAGACTGTTTGAAGCACTTTATGATACCCTGGTCCATCGGCTGTAACTTTGCTGTTGTGTTTGGCGGGAGAAACTGCAAGTTTACTGCTTTCAAATTTGGTAGATCACTTATATATATATATATAATATTTTAAGAAGGGGCGCCGATCAGGAGGATTGCCATAGGCGCCATTTTCTCTAGATACGCCTCTGTTCATACCGACTGCAACAGGAACAAATCACATGTTGCAGAAGTCTTATGCATGGGCACTTCTTCCCTTCTCCCGTTGTTGCAACTGCCAGCTATTGCCATCGCACTGGTTTCAAGAATTGGATTGAGTTTTATTTTCGCAGTTTTTGCAGACCCGGGAGCCAATCAGATTTGTTTTATTTCGCTACCCACAATTCTCAGTAAAGCGAAAATCTTGAATTTTACTTCCATCTTCATCTACAGTTTCTTTACGCTTGAGACTGACTGCTGTAAAATTTCTTTAAAGAAAAAAGAAAAGAAAACACGACAGAAGGTATTATCAACTTCTTTCAAGAATGTCCATGGTTATATGATGCTAGCAGAGCAGATTTTGCATCATGCGGTGTGAAGGTACTTGAAATCGCGTGCAACACAGGAGAAAAATCTTGTTTCGCATCACTGTTGCGTTCGGCCTGAAGCCTCCTTAAAACTGATTAGCAATTTTTAGCTTTACAGAACAGTAGACCCACTATTATTCATAGCCACCCCAGAGAAATTACATTATTGAATTTATCTAACAAGGAAAAAAAATAATAAAGTCTTATAAATCATCGTGAATTGAGTGCTTGCAAAATTGGGGAGACTTCCGTATCCTGATCTGTGGCAACTTCCGGGTCTTGGCAACTTCCAATCGCAAAGTCTTGGCAACTTCCGGGAAGCGGCCAGTGAAAAACTAAAAAAAAAAAAAAAAACAATACAGCAAGGGACCACCTCGAATTGTATAACTCGTAGCCACCCCCGGGCAAACATCTAACATGTTTTTTTTTTTTAAAATTTGCAAGTTTAAAATCCATTTGGCCTCTTGGCGATTTTAGTCGGCGCAATAGATCAGGATACGGAAATATCCCTGCAAAATTAAACATAGTAACGAATTTTCTTAATAGAAATTCTTTACTTACTGAACCTTTGCATGTGCATAGAAAAATATAATAATCGAGTGATTTTAAAAAATTAACACTTAGACAAACAAATGAATAATAGGAAATAAAATACTTGTAAAATCCGACATTATAAATATTTAAATAAGATTGGTAAATAACAAAAGACAACTCACGATTACAGATTTCACAGCGTGAGTCGAATGCTTACGGAACTTAATACAATGAGGGGTCCCAATCAAGGGGGAAGGTGGGCGCACGATGAGCCCACTTGAAGCTGGGGGGGGGATTTTTACACTAAATAAATATATCGATTCTAATTTAAAATGGAAAACACATATTAACAATTTAGTTAAAAAATTGCGTTTCGTTTTAGTTAAATTTTATCACCTTAAGAATAAAATTCATTTTAATTTTGTGAAGGCACTCTATTACTCCTGGTTTTATTCTTTAATTAATTATGGTGCGATAATATATGGCGGTGAATATAAAACTAATTTACTTCCCTTAATCTCAGTTCAGAATAAATGCTTCAAGATTATTAATTCTCTAAATATAAATAATTCAAGTGTAACTACTACCAATATATATACAAGAATTAACCTATTACCATTTCGCCATAATGTATTTTTTCGTATTTTACTCTATTTACACAACAATAAATTAATATGCAAATTAAAAACTAATGTGTCTGAAAGGAGACCAACTGAAATGTATGAGATTCCCTTCTTTACAAAAGAAATTTCACGAAAACAGTTTTTTTACTTAGCACCTAAATTATATAATAAATTACCATTTCAGTTGCAAAACATCAAAATATATTCTTCTTTTAAGCGTGCTTTATTTCAATTTGTGATGAACATTGACGATTTAGATCTCTATTTTTCACTTTAAAGGAAGCATTTGATTTTTTATACCAGTCTTGTGCCAATCCAAATGAATTTATGTTACCTTTGTTATTTTTTTTTTATTTATTTATTTATTTTTTTATATATATAGTTTCATGCATTTTTTTTTTTTTTTTTATTATTACAGTGTTCAACAATATATGACGTCTTATGATGAGCAAAATAATTTATGATTGTAATACCCCCTTTTTTTTCTTTCTTTTTTTTAATTTCTATTTTAAATTTATAGTATTACTTTTCTTTGTCGCCTGGACAGGATTTTCCTCTTGACGACGAATATATATTCTTTGTATTTATGTGTTTTTGTTCTCAATAAAGTTATATTTGTTTGTTTGAAAAAACGAATAGTCTGGGGGGGGGATTTAGAATTTACCCAAGAAGGCGCCCAAGAGCTTGGGGGGGGGGGATGGGGGCTACTGAATACAATAGCCATTTACACGTGCATAATAACCAAGCAATTACAGTGTTCAACAATAAAAAGTTGAAAATTCAAATATTACAAATAAATAAACTTACTAAAACAGAGTTGATAACTACTCTAAATTTATAAAAAATAAATATATATATAAAGAAAGCACTGATTATTAGCGTGTGTTGCAACTGCTAGAAACAACGCATGACGAAACCACTAATTGGCTACAAAGAAGTAAATAATGTCGCCACAAGGAATAAAAATGGCAACCTTACACTTGTTGCCACCGGAAAAATAGGACCTTCATTTCTTTTTAGTTTTAGGCTAATTTCTACAAAAATCTTTAAAGAAAGGTAACCTTTTTAATGTTGCCAAAAGACAAAATATTATTCTACTCTTCAGGGGTTCCTATTTTCAATGAAATTCTTTAAGAATGGGCTTAAGGAACATTTTAGGTTTTAGAGGTATTGCCACAATTCGAGAGTACTTTTCACTTCCTTACGGCCTCGTCTTGGGAATCTGCAGCACTTAAACTTGATTGGGGAATTTCGAATCCGAATTTGTACGTATTGTTTACTCAAGTTTGTCGAATAGATGAACTTGAGAAATTATGCAGTATGCTTTTTCGGAACTTATGTGTATTCCTTCTTTACTCAATTGGTTCGTGTACTGATTATTATGAACTACTTGGAATTTCTAAAGATGCCGACGATCGGGAAATCAGAAAAGCTTTCAAAAAACTTGCATTAAAATTGCATCCTGATAAAACTCAGGTGAGGCACGATTGCCTTAAATCAGTGTCCTTTTTATTTATGAGTTATATTATTATTAAAAATGCATAAAAGGATAAATATTGCACTCTCAATGATACATATTATAAATTAATGTTGATAAATGCACATTTATGGAGTTATATTAGAATATTTATAGCAGAGTTTTAATGCGCTTATTTTTGAAAAATACTTGCGCAACGGCATACCTAAGGATAGTTTAATTAAACATTAAGGAAGATTTTCTTTTTCCACCTTCGCTAAATTGATGAAGAATGTTTCTTTGCCGATAGTGAAGAAATTTATCGACTTGGTTGCTTGTATGTTATTACATCACTCTGCCTCAAATTCAATGAACACTGCAGACAGCATTTATTTTTGGTTTGTTTTTGGGAGATATTTCCGTATCCTGATCTGTAGCCCCAACTACGATCGCCAATTTGCTAAATAGATTTTATAAACTAGTAAATTTAAAAAAAAAAAAAAAACATGTAAATGTTTGCCCGGGGGTGGCTACGCGTTATACCTTTCGAGTTGGTCCCTTTCTGTTTTTTTTTTTAAGTTTCTCGCAGGCCACTGCTTGGAAGTTTCCAAGACTTGGCGATTATTTAGCCACCGATCATGATACGGAAATCTCCCAAAATATTAGTGTTTGGAATATGGCTATTATTATTAAGTTTTTTATTATTTTTAATAAATGTATAAAAAAGGGATGTGAGTGCTATTGCTGGCTTACACAAAAAAATTTTTTAAGGTGAAGTGACACTGTTCTGTATATTGATATATTTTTTAGATTAAGTGCAATGATCATAAATAGCGCATTGTGAAACTAATGAAGTCGCTGTGTGCTGCTTTTTTAAGAATAGAGTGTAGTACGATACAAAAATTGGTAGTTTGTAACAATTCATGGTATCTAGGTACTTTTAATATGAATTTAGAAAATGTTCCTATGTCTTTAAAAAAATTTAGTGACAGTTTTTTTATAATAGGATTCTTAAAATTGTTAGAATTAAGGAAATATTGCTTATATATCAGTTCTATCTACATTGTTGTTAATATGCGTCACACAGTTTTTTAGTTAAAATCAGTGATTTTTCTACTAACTTTCACAAAATGGAAAATGTTATAAAACCCATTGAACCATCTCTTTCGACAGGAAATAGAGGACAATCGAAATTTAACGAAGCTATTTAATTGAAAAATAATGTTTAGATTATTAAGATTAAAATTTCTGTAATTTTTAGTCATTATAATGGTTATCATTAACTTAAATTTATATCCCACCCGAGACTGAAGTAAACAAATTCCAATTAATTATATATCATATTTACAAGTTAAGAACTGCATAGAATTCTTTATTAAAATGGCAGCTTCAAAAGTGAGTCAAGTTACATTTATATTACAAACAAATTCACAGAGTTTAGATAATTTGTAATTGAGTAAAATCATATTTTGCTTTCGTGCAATTTATGTCCGACACCAACATTTTAATCCATTTAATTTTTAACTTATCGAATCAGTTTTTATAAAACAAATTGTTTTTTGATAGGTTATGATGTACTAAATATTTGATATAAAAATTTTATAGTTATAAACTTATGTTTCATGAGGGAGTTTTTCCTGGAATTTTCTGTTCAGTTCATGGAATTGCCCAGTTCTAAAAAAACAAAACAATTAACTAATTTAATAAATAGTCACACATAAATAGTCATTTGATGGTCAGCTGTTGTTATTGCTGGGCTGTTGTAGAGGCTGGGAATCATGCTGAGGAATTCCATAGCGATTAAGAGAATTCACTCGCCTTGGCTACTCTATTCTGTACTGATTTTGGAGAATACATTGTCTTGGATTATCATTCCAGTGTTGTTGAGGAGGAGATATATTGAAGGCACTATTTTCATTTTTTTATAATTTTTAGCAAAACTTAGTAAGTTCTTCAACAGTACTTGGAGAAGCTATACTAAAAAAATTACGCAATTTCTCAGGTGTGTCTGCTTTAATGGATTCTAGCACAACTCCTTATCTACGTTTAGATTTTAGGACAATTTCCACTTCTTTGTCGCATATTCTGAAAATTTCTTTTTGAAGATGGCTTCATAGATAAGAAAAGTTCATACTTATCTTTCATGTAGTTTTTCCTCAAGCTTGGTCTATTGTATAAAAGTGCTTATTTTTGATTTTCTTTTTTTAAAAGCCCTTAAAGGTGCTTTTTTTATTGTGTGTTTTTAAAAAGTGCTTAATTTCCCTTTTCCAAAATGATATTTTTCCTTTACCATGTTGATTTTTGCTATGAATTATGCAGAAAAACGCTGTTCACATTGTTCTATTCAACGTCTTCGCAATTAATTCAAAACCCCAATCTATTTCTGCTTATCGTCAGACCGTAGCGTGTGAAAACGCCATTCGATTTACACGATTAAAAATTCTTGACAGTTGTCAAAAACAATGCCGAAAGTTTTTTTAAAATTTTTTGACATGACGGTTAAAACTGTCAGTTGTCAAAAACTTTCCAATCCTACCTAATTGTGTTTCTTTTAAGTGCTTAAAAATACTATCTGAGTACTTGAAAGGTGCTTATTTTTTGTTGAATAATTTGGCTATGCACCCTGTATAAACAATAGTTCTTTTAGCATGTACCGATGTATACACTTTATATTGCTATCCAGACACTATCTAAACATGTAATGTAAATTTTCCGATAAAATTTTTCGTGCAATTGTATGAGACCAATCCGAAGATCACCGGATTACTACTTCATAAGTTGAAAGTGTTTTAAGCACAAAAAATACAATTTTGTACCTGATCATATTTACACATTTTATAATGCTAAACGAACAAGTGAGGTACTGTTTCCTATTCATTTTTTCTCCTTTAATTGAGTGAGACAATACACGAATTTCAAAAACTATTAGTTCGATCATCTCGGGATTGGTATCATTCAATTTAGTGTGAAAAATATATTGTAATAACTGCCTTACTTGCCTGTTTAGAAAAAATTCAACTCTTACTCTAAGATCTCCCACATTTCCCTCAAAAAAGGGGAAAACGTACAGAAGAGAGTTGGGCAGTGTACAGGTATCATTTATATAACAGCATTTTTCCAAAAATGTCTTAAGTAGTACTTTTTTGATAAAAACACCTTTTTTTCTGCTATAACTACTGGACTATTAGATCAGAGTGCAAAAAAGGAACTCTACCGTTATATTTAGAAAGAAATTTCTAAGATAAATGAAATAACGTGTGAAATGAGTATTCGAAAGGGACGCGACCACTGATCAAAAGTAACTCGGAACAAAAATTTTAACACATTAGTTTTAAAACTTTGTATTTTAACTTTTTTCAGTCTATATTACTAAAACTAATATTGTCATACATGTTACCCTGCTCTAAATCTTAATGAGAAAAATTGTGAGAAATGTATATATATACAGTAGGGAACCGATTATCCGGAACGATCGGGACCATCGCTATTCCGGATAACTGATTTTTCCGGTTTTCTGAATCGATACAAAAAGCCGTTTTAACCCAACTAAAAACAAAACAAAAATAGTTGGAAATAATCTTAAAAAGAGGAAAAAACGATGAAGTAATACACTAATGATTATTTCCAAAATGATGGTAAGGTAAACATCTTTCAAAAAAGAAAGAAAAGTCCTAAAATCTTATGAGGAAAAAAATTTTTTTTTTTAAAAATGGTGGTAAAATTTATCGAATTTCGTCCCGGTTTTCTGATTTCCGGATAATGGGTTCTGTACTGTATATGTATAATAAGATAAAAAGGGGCAAATGAAATATGATGTTCCTTCTTTCCAATGAAATTTGTAGATAGGTCATTGGTCTCTCTTCCCTTTTCTTATTATTATATTATATAATTTTTTTGTTTTGTTTCAAAAAGTATATTAATTTTTGAACATTTTATACGCAAAACATTTTTGTTCCTAAAAAATATGCGCATAGTCACAGAGTTAAAAATTTAGTCCTATCAGCTTCTTTTCTCTTTCTAATTTCTTCTTTTTTCTATGGCAAAATATTTTTAAAAAATGTGTTGATTTTACAAATAAAAAGTTTAAACGTGTATTGATATATTCACACTGAAAATATTCTTAGAACCTGTTTACTTGAGCTTCTGGTGCTAGTCAATTGATAGCATAATTAAAAGAGTTTTTTTTGCATATATAATCGAAATAATTTTTGCCATAATGTTACATTTCTATTTTTAAATCACCTACTTTTAGAAAGGGGACAAATCTGCAAAATGGACATAAAATTCTCAATAATAATGAAAAAAAAGCTAAATTTTAAATAAAATATTTAATTTACTCGTAATGCAACGAGTTAAGAAGGAAAGCAAATCTGTCTATGGTGTAACAAAGGGAAGTTTTTTTAAAAATTTTTTTACAAAAATTGATTCGGAAAATTATAAATATAATCATAGTATCGCAGACACTATTAATTAACTATTAAAATTAAAATGTTTAAATGAAACATGAGTCAAGGTTATCAAGTTTTAAGATTTTTAGAAATTAAAAAATTATCGCTGAATGTCCCACACATTACAGGACTGGGAAAATTATTTATGACACTCTAAGGGAATGAACTCCAGTGTCAATTTTCTATTCATTGCAGTGATTTCGTGATGTTATGTTTAATCATTACAGTTGAACACCTTCATTTTCAATTCATGTTCATATATTATGTTCCAGATTTTATTGTCCTGCCATATAGGGCATGTAACCTCTATGAATTTATTACGGAGCATTCGTGCTGTTGTAGTTTGGAGCTCTGTAGACGCAGCACATTTATACCCATGCAATCCAGGGTCATTGTCGGGGTTGCTTCATTTGAAGGCCTCCTTTGTTCATGACAATCTATTAATTTTCTTGTACTGATAAGACACAGACTTATATATTCTGCAGATACCCCCTATTAGCGCGGGGTTAAATTAAATTCAACACAGTAAAGAAAAGCTTGCATTTAAATGTAACTTCAGTTTTCAATATTACTTTGAATAAGAAGACTTTTGTTAGTTTTCTCTTTTAAATTAAACTGAAAGTGAAACTAGTATATGCTCTAATCATCCCTTGGATGCCTTGTTAAAAATTTCACTGTCAAAAATTTTGCTATTGTAAGTCTTTTGTCACGAATTTATAAGCATAAGCTTTATTTTATAAATCATTCCTCCCCCAAAAAATCCAATTAATGCTTATTTTGTGCCAGTTCAGCAACATTTTTTAACAATAATTTCACTTTAGTATTAGTAGAATCAATGTATTTCCTACTATATTAAATTCACTGAGTATTTTCTGTTGAATCCTGGAAATGGTAAGGTCTAAACCCCTAAGTTACTTACAATTTCTTTAATTTTAATAATATTTTCGATTTAATTAAAAATATTCTAACAAAATTCTTGGCAAGATAACATGAGGTTTTTCTAAGACACAGTAAAATATGATTGATATTTCCATTTATATGCAAGGAAACTTAAGTAGTTTTGGAATTTGAGGAAAAAATGATTGTTATATTTTGCTCCTATCCCCTTAACTCATTTGACTGCTTTACAAAAAGGTAAGACATATTGAAAATATGAAATTTTAAAAGTATATGAACATTTTAAAAATATATGACTAAGATTAAATGAGTAACTTTTAAAGTAAGTATGAAAGAGAATAAAAAACTTTTCTAATGTTTGATAACATTTTTAATAAAAATTTGTATGAAAAATACTTTTTAATTGTTTTATTAGTTATAATTGCTTAATTTCAATCAGGGTTCGTGATTTTTTTGATTTTTTTAAAAAAAATCAAAAGAATCAGATTTTTTTGATTTAAATCGGATTTTTTTGATTTAAATCAGATTTTTTTGATTTTTATTCAAATACACTGTAAGAACTTTAATTTATGATTNTTTTTTAAATTTTGTTCTGTTTTTCTAATTTCAATGCGTTTCAGTTTTGTTTATTTTTTTTTCTAAGATAAATTTCGTACTCAATAAACCAATTCTTTTTATTCATAAAAAAATAAAAGTTAAATAGAATAAATTCAGAATAAAATTTGAAAAAAAAAAAAACTGTGTTTAAATAGTTTGGTGTTTTAAATCGTACAATATGTATTAAACAAGCAGAAATTGTTACAACCCTTACAGGCATAATCGGCGATCACCAGCATTTTTAAATTTGGATACAATTTCTAAGCATTCTATTTCAGAAAGAGTGTCAAGTTCATTGAGAATTATTCTCAAATGCATGTCTAAAGATTGCTGCGTCATTCGTGAGCGCAAATCAGTGCAAATTAAATTCATTTGCGAAAACAGTCTCTCAACACTGGCAGTTGAGGAAGGAATAATGGAGCTAAAAGAGAGTAACTTCATACAATTAGGATAAAATGTGCACAGTCCAGAACCTTCTAATATTCTTAATAAATCTTTCGATTCAATTACTTCCGACATCTTCTTTTTTGCCAACTCCTGCTTGCCCTGGCGAATAAACACTTGTGCTTCTTTCATTTTTTCCATTTCATACGTCAGTTTTGCTGATGACATTTCTTTTTCAAATCCTGATATTTCTATCTGAGCTACTGTTTCATCTATAATAGGAGCTGAAATATTTTTTGAACCTCTAAATTCATGACACTTTTCTTTCCCATAAAAGGAAAGCAGAGTTTGCCAGGATGCATCATTATCTCCAGAAATATTTTTGTCGGAAAACAAATCAAATCCATTTAATGGGGCAGGAATAATAAAGGCATTTTCCATTTCATTTTCAAAATCTTTAATAAAAGGTTTAACAAAAGTCTCTTTATAGATTTTAATAAGTTCAATAGAATCATATGACTTTGAACTGCTTCGTGAACTTCTACTTAGAGCAGTGCAGTCTAAAGCAAATGAAAGTAGTTCCCTGCTTTTTTTGAAATGGTTTGCTTTTTCAATGTTTTTAGAGAAATCGAGTACTTCATCAACAAGTTTGCTCACTTGTGATGAGACCGAGCTGAACGCTATGGCAGGACTTTGTAACCATAAGTTCAACTTATCCACTTTCCCTAAAAAATCTGATAAAAACAATAATGTCAATAATAATCATGATTTAAATCGTGATTTAAATCAAGCTGATTTAAATCAACGAACCCTGATTTCAATTGTGTGCAATATAAAAACAAATATCAAAAACTAAATTCTAGTATTAGGTAAAGAGTAAACATTTAATCTAAAATATAAAATGAAGATTTTTATGATGTTACTTTAAACTAATACTTTATTAAAATAAATTTGTTATCTATTAAAGTATTTTTGTTCATCGTAGCGTTTAACTTTTTCATATAAATATGTGTTCCACGACCATTAATATGCAATATTAACTATTTTTCCCTTTCATTATGTTTGCTTTCTCCATTATTTTAACAATGGACTTAAATTTAACTCTATTTGATTGTTTTTTATTGAGTACGTAATAACATTTGCGTTTAGAGCAATATTGCCACTTTCATCTTTTGTGTGATATTCTGTACTTTTAAACATAATAATGATAACTTTAATAAAAGGAAAATACAATAATATACGAAAGGATATAGTCCACTAAATTAAAATATAAGTGTAGTTTAAAATGTACTAAAAGTTTTAAAGACAACCAGAGAGTTAAAAAAAAAAAAAAATTTGAGATTATCATAGTAAAAGTTTCCAGACTGAAATGTCGAAAAAGTGTTTGATTTTAGGGTCTTTTTAAACTTACCTGTAAGTTAGAACTATTTTTAGAACACCCTCTATCCACTGGCTATATCTCATTTCAATCTTAAAAAGGCACTCCCAAAATTCTAGGAAAATTTCTTTGTGAAGCATTTATAAATGAATTCAAGCCTTAAAAATGATTCCCCATAGATTTAGATAAAGCAGGGTAATTTAATTCTGTAAAAATTTCCCTACAGTTAAAGAGGAAACGGCTAACATCGTAAGTAAAGATGGGGAGATACATGGGTATGGTCCAGAGTATTGCATCCATGTGAGAGAAGAACAAATATATGACATTTTTGAACAAGGAACAGTCTCATATCGTATCGATGTAGTAAATTTATTATTATTTTTAAGTGTTGTTTTTTATCTAATAAAATCAATAAAACAATTTTTTTTTAAAAAAACTATTAAAAAAAAAAAGAATAGTTTGAGAAAATATTGCCATTTACAATGGGGGGTGTTTGAACCCCCTAAATCCCACCCTTACCTACGCCCCTGGATTTTACTTTTCTTGGAGATTATTTTCAGCAGGGCTTGCATTATTTTGCAATCGCTACGCATTTTATTTCGCCTGGATTTACCGTTTCTTGCAAATTATTTCCAGTGAGACTTATGCTACTTAGCGATCGTTTACTTGAGCATTATTTTGCCGCTTTTTTTTTTTCTTTGTCAGTTGGGATTAAACGATTCTGGTAAATTATTTTTAGTAGACCTACTGTTACTTTATGATCGCTGCATAATTGCTGTTATCTTAAAATTTTGTTCTATACTCAATCTATTAATGTAAGGAAAATATCAATAAAAAAAGATTCTTCATTGATTTTTTTTATTATTTTTCATTTTATGCGATATAATTTTATAGGGGTATTTTGTATATAACTTTGTTATTTTGTATTTAACTTAGTTAGTTTTTTTTAAAATTTATTTAATGCATTTACTAATGAAAGATTCTTTATCTTCAGTCATTTAAAATTATAAAAAAATTGGAACAAAGCCTACATGTATTTAATTTGCATCTATTTTTGTGAAAATTAAAGCAAAGTTTGCGTTATTTTTATTTTTTTTTTTTTTAAATTAGGCTATTAGTTAAAACAAGTAATTTTTCTTTAACTAAATAAAAAGTTAAGCAATGTTTTGACGCTTTTTAACAATAGTACTAAGTTTTTTAGTAATAATCAACAGTAATATACTCATGACATTGGCTTAAATGTTCACAGTTTTCATTCACCTAATTAATGTAATTTCTTTATTATATATGTGGTATTGTAAATTCTAAATATATTTTTTCTCATTACAGAATTAATAAGGACGGAGATTCTGACAATTCTCTCTTTTCTTTTTAGGGGAAAGACACACATGATCAGTTTATTACAATTAATAAAGCTTATGAAGTTTTAAAAGATGAAAGTACTCGAAAAAAGTATGATTTGTATGGAGAAGAAGGATTAAAAGATGATTTTGGTAGTTCTTGGAAAGGAAATTATCGAAGTTGGAATTATTATTCCGAAAGTTTTGGTATATTTAGTTTCTGAATTCCCTTTTTCTTGTTGAATTTCTTAGAATCACCTAAATATTATTAAATATAATACTATATATAAATTCTGAAATCGGTGAAATGCAATTTCGATTAAAAAATTACATTCAAATGAGTTTTTCAAAAACTTTTCAACAGTAGAAGAAACTTTTTTGTTGACCCAGCTTTGATGAGAACTATGGAGTACTTAAGTGGATGGAGTACTTATAAGTGGATGGAGTACTTATAAGTGGATGGAGTACTTATGGGAAAATCTGTTTGCAAAGAATGAAAACAAACAATACAATTACAAAATATAACCTGTTGTAAATTTTAAGAAAATTTATAGACTGTTGTTAAATTTAATGGTCATAGCTTCTAAAGAAAACATTTCTAAAAATTTAATATCATTAAAAGTTATTCTAGGTGTTAACTTTTTTTTAGGGTTCTGTACATGATCTTTTAAAGTTTTTTTAGCTCTTAATTTTCTCATATTAGTGCTACATGTGAACATTTATTTTTCAACATCATTTTATCACTTATAAGCAATTTAAATATTTATAGTAAACCGTCTTATTACTACTTGTAGGAATTTATGATGATGATCCAGAAATAGTTACACTCAACAGACATAATTTTGGTAAGTAAATTTAACTTTGTTGTAAATTAACTAACGATTGAAAAAGTAACTCAGTCTAACATCAAATTATAAAGTTTAATAATGTTTAAGGTTGGCTGGTTTAAACCAAATATTTTTTTTTCTTTAACATGAATTTTACAGTTTTTAAAATCTTTTTTTTTTTGAATTTTTTTTTATGTGATGACTGCTTGCAAAGTACAATAAGGGAGAAATATGTAATTTTTTTTCAATTTATATATTCTTTCATATATGCATAAAAACTTATATCTTTTGTGCTCAAAACAATAAAAAAAAATCAAGTATTAAAAAAACAAAATTACGTTACAAAAAAATTAAACCCTCCTCCCGAATCGGAGTAACATCTGTGGATAGTTAAAGAAAGTGTAGCTCATTCATATTGCATTTTAGTTTAGCTGCTTCAGATAATAACTGCAGATATTACCAATTTTTAAGAGACAATGCAAACAATAGGAACTTAAATTAAAATATTCTACAGTTATGAAATTTTGATTCAAATGAACTAGACTTTAAATTATTTCTTTTTTTTATTATTTAGTATCAATGTTTATTTAGTGTATAGTGTATTTTGTTTTTTAAAATGCAATAATTTAAAAGCATTATTTTATTTAATATTTCAATTTTAAATGTAAATTATTGTATTTATTTATGCTTTACCTTTAATTTATAGAATGATGTTTTGGCACTAAATCAGTGCAAACTTTACACAAACAGGGCTGATTGTGCTCCGAAAAAAATCCGGATTTCCGGAATTTTCGCTAACAGTGATCCGGAAGTTTCCGGAAATTGAAGATCCAGACGTTTCAAAAAATCATTGATCACAGAAGTTTCCGGAAATCAAATTTTCAAAGGTGGAACTTAAAAACACAGTTTATTTTATTTGTTTGTAAGGGAGAGCTAGAGAGATACTTTATAAGCTTATATTCATGATTAATATCAATTTTTTATCAGTAAATAGTTGTTATAATCATGAACTGAAGAAAGAAAGACATATTTATAAATTTTAATTACTTCTCCAGGTCATCATAGGTATGTTTAAATGGTATAGGTATGTGTAAAATTTTAAATATAGTTTAAGTAAACTAAGAAATATTGAAAAAGGAAAAAAAACCCTGTTGAAATATTTTTCTAATTTTTCAATTTACCCTTTTTTTTTTTAACTCAAGAAATTTTCCGGAATTTTAACTTGGGCTCACAATCACCCCTGCACAAATGAAGATTATTTATCATAATTTTTTCAGCTTCATCATAAATAGCTCTTGCAGGTTATACTACTGATATTTTAATTTATATTTTCATTAGGGTTTCCTATTTACAATGATGTTGTCTTTTGAATTATTAACAGGGCTGGGAAAACCTGGAATTGTCAAGGAATTTTATTTTAACACTGAAAAGCAAGGAATAATCAGGAAAAGTTGCAATTTTTTACAAAATCCTGTAAAATTCCTATATCATACCTGGGGAAATAACCAGTCTTAGAATTGTCAGTAACAGTAATAAGTTATTGAGATATCAGTTAAATAATTCTGACATCTATTACAAAAAAATTCATTTTTTAGTGAAACTTTTCCATGTTTCCATTATCATTCTATTCTATATTTTTGCTCACAAAATCTCATGTTGGACAATACAAATGAAAAAATTTTCTGATCAAAAATTGCACGGTATTGATAAAATATGATATGGATTTTCATTGAAATTTATCTGATTTACCTGAAAAAGTGAAGGAATTTTTTTTCTTCTGAAATTGAGTGGGAACCCTGCTTTAAGTTTTCAAAAAATAGGAAGAAATCTTGATTTCTCAAAAAAATTATGTTATAAATGTTGCAAACGATCTTAACATTTTTTCCTAATCTATTAAAATAAGAGTTATTTTTGTTCTCACTAATAAATGACAGGGCACACGCTAAGCATTCGCCAAATCCGATAAAACCCTAAATTCAGTGAAACAACTTGCATTTTGGCGAAAGATTTTTTTCTACCATCAAGAATGACATTGATTCCCGCAATCTTAAAAATTACATCAATATGATTTTTTCTTAACAAATCTTGTATTTTTCGTTCAATTACAGTAATTTCCATGAGATATGTCTCATAACTATTTAAAATTATATTAAAGTCCAGATAATCTAAGCAACAAGAGTGATTTTGCAGGCATAATATAGACCTTAAAATTCAGATTAACACATTTGATGCCGGATCACGTGATATCACATGACGAAACTCTTTCCTACAGTTTTTGTCAATAAAACTGGTTAAATGGTAGCTAGATGCATATTATCATCCCACTATTTTTGTAGAGAAATAAAATAAGAAAATTTTACTTTTATTATATCTTTCTAGGTTACCACTTTTCAATGATATAGTATAACCGCCTACACTCCGCTGGCAATGAAAGTGTTAAACCCCCGCCGAAATCACGATGGCAAAGAATTTTTGCCAGTAGTCATCAGATTAAAGCAGAGAATTAAATTATTCAAATAACTTATCTTCTATAGTGAATTTTTTTTTTATGATTGCATCGCAACAGTAAAAAATAAGTGAGACTAAAAATTTTATTATTGAAAAATAAGACTTGAATGAAACATTTTATTTAAAATGAAGTATCTATATTTAAAAAAAATAGTTGAAATCCTAAAAAACGCCAAATATTGCGTTAGGTTTATCTATATATTCTACTCTAGTCTAAGAAGTTATCAAAAATTAACCCCATCTTATTCTTATTTATTTTCTCAATGAAAGAATCTTCATTTTTCATCATATCTTCCATTCATTGCTCATTTTCTCCTTCCCTACTGTTAAAATGACTCTTGATTTGAATTTGCATTTTACAATAATATAGTTCAATTAATGGTAAATTTGAATTTTGATTTAAAGTTTTCAATGGGATTTTTTTTTTTTTTAAGATTTTCCTTTGGCTAATACTTTTGAAGTTTAGTAATACTTTAAATATTTGGCTAATTTACTGGCTAATAATTTGAAGCTCCTAACGTGGGCCCTGAATAAAGATAAACCTTACTGATTGTTGCATATCAATGTTCTATATTTGAAATAGATACAGCTCTGAGGGAAATATTGAAATACAAAAATGTATTCTTACTTTTTAATTTTATAAATAAAAGCAATTTTGAGCTGTTGTTTATTAGATAATGTTATACAGTAGAGAACCAATTATCCGGGATGCTCGGGACCATCGCTATCCCGGATATCTGAATTTCCCGGTTTTCTGGATCGACCAAAAAGTGTCGTTAATCGATGTTTTATCGAACCCGAAGTACAAGGAAAAATTGTAATGCATAAAGTAAGAAAAAAAAGAAAGGTACTCCTAACTTTAAAAAGAAAAAAAAATGGTAGAAATATAACATTTAAAAGAATAAAAAAATTTGCAAGTTTAGGCAAGAAACTCAAGTTTAAAAAATACAAAATTCTCATATTTATTTTTTAAAAATAATTACAATTCCTAAATTAAATAATATAAACAAAACCAATGATTAAATAACGCAATATATTTCATACCTAATTATACGGGGAAAAACGATAAAATAAAAGGAAAACTTTTAATTCTAAATAAAAACACTTGAAAATTATCGAACCGAAACGATAGTTAAAAAAGGCACTAGCATAAATATTAAAACCCGGAACAAGGCAAGATCAACGGAATTCAAAAAAAAAAAAAAAAAACCTAATGATAAAATTTATGAATAAAAAGAATTAATTTATTGAGTGCGAAATTTATCGCGAAAAGAAAAAAAATCAAACGTAGTGGAATCAGAAAAACAAAACTGTAATCTGCTTCATAAAATAATCCTATGTTTAAATTAATAAACAATTCTCCTTTTATTTTATTTTTTTTTGTTGATTAAAACAAGATTTTTAATTACAGCAGATGTGATTCCACACCAAAAAAAAACTTGCAATTGATACCGCACTTCCAAAGAATGAGAATTTATTCAAAAGAAAAAGATTTTATTTTTATTAGTCGATGTCAAATAAATATATTTTTCTCTTTTCTTTTTCTGTTCACTGATATGCTAGCAATGCATTTTCCCCACCCCCCTCTTAAATCAAGCAGAAAACGAAATCAGCATGCCACACCCTTGAGTTTGATTGACGGCCTAAAGTAAAAAATAAAACATTCCTCCCTTCCCTGTCTTCAAGGTCACGGAGGAAATGACGTTTCTCTGGGTAACCGGGGAAAAAAAATTTCCCCTTCCTTACATTTTCCTCTACTCAACTTCAAGGATGAGTCCAATTTCCGCTTTTTTCGTTCTAGTTTAAAATGGCGGGAAAATCGAGCAAAATTTTTCCCGGTTATCTGGATACCGGATAAATGGTTCTCTACTGTAATTGATTTTGAACAAATTTCTTTATATCTCAAATGTAACTAATCTGAGTTTAAATGGATAATTATCAAATGTGAATAACTAAATAGTTACTTTTTTTATTCAGCTCAATCTGTTCTGGAATCATCAGAACTATGGTTTGTGAATTTTTTCTCACCACAATGTTCACATTGTCATCATTTAGCATCAACTGTAAGTATTTTGTTTGACATTATCTTTTTTTTTTTTTTTTTTTAATACATTCATTGAAAATTTCAATTATTTTCAATTTATAAAAACTTTATTTTTTGTTCTAACAAAAATAAAATTAATGAAAGCATAACTACATAAGTTCAAATTAAAATAAGCTAGAAAATTAATTTTATGATATTTATAGAATAATATTTATTTCAGTGTTTAATTTTCTATTGATTTTCATTTATCAGTGATGGTTAACTCCCGGGATATTTCCCCTCAGGGGGTTCGTATTCCTTTCCCTTTACTCCTACTTTCTTCTTTTCCTTCCCCCTTGTGGTGTTTGCCAATTTACTGGTTAGGGCTTTTCATCTGTGTTTGATTACCACCCTGTCATATCGGACCCTCATGGGAAGAGACCACCTACGTGTTTGCCATGTGTGGAGACCCGTGTCCCTGGAGAAGGGGATCCTGGTAGTTGAGGGGCTTCTTGGTACCCTAATACACAGCTTCGGCCTGTGCTTCAGGTAAACAGGAGGTGCATACTGACTGGCCTGTGTGAATCAATCGGCTAGTCATGAACGTCAACTGTTGGCTATTGTCAAGCCCGGGGTCACCTACTGGGCACCTTGTTAAGGGTCGAGGCTGCCTCACGGTCATATAATTATTGGTCAGTATCGGTGTTAAGTAACAGATTCCATACTGTTACTTGCATCACTTTAGTTGGACTGCGTGGTTGGTGATGCCGCTGGTAGTCGCTGTATCATTACGCTCACGAACCCAGAAAGTAAGCAACACTTCATTTACCAAAGTCTCATCATTTTTAATTCACAAAGTTCTTCTCTCAGTACTGGGAGAGGTGGCCTCTGTGAAATAGTTGCGTTCTGGTGATCTTATAGTTGAGGTCTCCCCAAAACAGACTACTATCTTATCTAAATGTACCAATATCATAGCTGCCAACTGTTTTGAAGTTTTTGGATTTGTTCCTAATTTTTAAATCAAATCTGAAAATCTTATATTTTTATAAAAAATCTGAATTTTCGTAAAATTGCAGTATATTTGATTTTAAACCAATCCCTTATTCTGATCGCTGCAACCGCGCTTCCTGTGTTTAATGTGCTGAAGTAATGTTTATTAGCTTTTTATTAGAAGGTACTATTCCAATAGCTGTTGCTGATCATTTCACTAAGATGAATCTTTAACAACTATTATTATTTTTTAAAAAATTTATTGTAGTATTTTAACACTTGCATCAGAAATATTTGTTTATGATGTAGATTATTATTTACTTGTGTCTTATAATTTTGAGAAGAATAATTATATATCAATATGTAATGGTTCTTTTTAAATTATTATAATGGTATTCCTAATTATAAAATATTAATATTATTAATTTCCCACAAAAGATAGTGTTTCTAGTTTTGTTTTACTAATTTACATACAGTATTTAAATATATGTCTATTAATGTTGTATTTAATAGTTAAATTTTGGTCTTACTCTCGTAATTTTTGCTTAGTATTTTGGCGCATATAGTGTTCCTAATTTTTGATTCCTAAGATTGGCAGCTGTGATATCTGCTCTTTCACTGTTACAGTATTACCCTATAAGACTCTTAACACCTCTCGAGGTGTTATATCAGAATCTGAATTCCTCGATGATACAGAGGAAACAATTGTGGAAAATTTGAAAGACCAACATGTTACTGCTGTCTGTAGGATCAAGATTAGGAGGGATGGGAATCTCACCCCCCACAAAACATCTGATCCTTACTTTTGGCACACCAAAATTACTATCTTCGCTTAAGCTTGCCTGGTATAACTGCACCATTTGACCATATGTGCCAAACCCATTAAGGTGCTTTCTGTGCCAAAGGTTTGGACACTCTAAAGCATCTTGTTGTAGCGAGCCTATTTGCTCTCGATGCTCTGGTTCTGACCATGGTGACACTATCTGTGAGTTTCCACCCCTCTGCATTAACTGCAAGGGTGCTCATGCTGCATACTCCAGGAGTTGTCCAAAATGGTCTCAAGAGAAAGAGATACAAAGTGTCAAAGTATTACAAAATGTGACCTTCAATGAAGCCTGCCGAATAGTCACTGCCCGCACTCTTCTTCCGGGTGTGTCCTATTCCGCAGCTGCCAAGACTTCCTCTTGCTCTGTCAGTACGCAAACAGATCTTCCACCTTTGTCTTCTACCTCTCATCATCAGATTAAAACTAGAGTCCAAAAATCACAATTTAATTTTAATGCACCATCAACATCAAACAGAACATCTCCTCCTCCTAAAAAAACCTTCTGAAATTGATAGCTCAGAAAAAGACGAACCTTTCCCCAAGCAGCTTGCAACAACAAAAATACCCCAAATTAAAAAAGCTGGCATATCTCGGAAAAAAAAGACGCAAAATATGTCAATCAATCTACTTCTTCTGCTCAGAAGAAGATGGATGTTCACGTAGAATTGTCTCTTCTTCCTTCCGATTGTGAGAATTCTTACTTGAATGACCGAAATCTTTTGACATTACAATTCAACTATATATTTATCCATTTCATCCTGTCAATAAATTTTATCTCATGGAACTGCCATGGCCTAAGAAATTAGCACTTAAATATTAAAGATATCATATCTAAATATCAACCTGCATGTTTTCCACTGTCATCTCATAATTTTAAATTGCGTAACTACTCTTGCTCCCGGCATGATTTCAATCATCCACATGACGGCGTTGCAATCTTAACTTCGAATGCATTACCATCTACTCATCTTCCATTATCAACATCATTACAAACTTGCGTCATCCAGATTCATATTAATATTCTCCTCACAGTATGTTCTGTTTATCTACCTCATCATGCAACTGTTTCCTAATCAAATTTCAACAGTTTAATTTCCCAGTTACCTTCGCCTTCTATTTTACTCAGATTTTAATGGTCATAGTGAATTGTGGGGTAGTTCCGCCTCCAATGACCGGGGGCATAAAATTGAACAATTTATCCATGATCATAGTCTCTGTTTGCTTAATCAAGGCGAAGAAAGTTACTTCCACGCACCTACACAAACCTTTCATTCCATTGATTTAGTATTATGTTCACCAACTGTCTTGCCTTTTAAAAACTTTTCAGTGAGCAATGATTTTCATAATTCATTTCCCTCTAATAATGTCATATTCTGCTTATGTTACCATGAGCCCAAGACCATCAGCTTTTATATACCATTGCCCTAATTGGCCTCTATTTGCTCAGCTTTTTGAGATCACAGATGATATGCTCACACACAATACAATAAGTGCAGCTGTTGATCGTGTTATGTCTGTTACTCTACAAGCGGTAGAAGATAGTATACCCAAGCTGTCAAGTTCGCTTCCACGCCATCGTAAACCGTGGCGGAATGGGCTGCTGACGATGTCTGTAATATTCTTCGTGAGACATTTACTGCTGTCTGTAGTCCAGGGAGTTACAGCCCAGCATTTCAACACCATAAGCAGAACGTCAAACGCAATAACATCAACTTTAAAACACGGCGTCTCTTCCGCTTAAACAGTAATTTTAATTTCGTAGAACTGCAGCGAGCATTTTATCTATCGGTCTCATAACACAAGTCCCAGGCCTGATGGTATCACCTATCACATGCTCCTCCACTTAGATTGGACGTCGTTGTCAAATGTCCTCGTTCTATTCAATAGAATATGGACGGAAAAAACGTACCTGTCAGGTTGGAGTGAAGCAAGTGTAATACCCATCTTAAAACCAGGTAAAAACCCTAACGATCCAATTAACTATTGCCCTATAGCGTTAACCAGCTGTCTTGGGAAGACGTTAGAGCAGATGGTCAACTTTCGCCTAGTATACTACCTATAAAAAAAATCAACTCATGCCTGACTTCCAGAGCGGTTTTCAAGTTGAAAGATCGACGGTTGATAACATTGCTGCTCTAGAGTCGCGAATTCGCAAAGCCTTTGTCTGATGTAACCATTTTGTCTCTCTTTTCTTTGATATTGAGAAGGCGTACGCTTGGACATGGCGATATGGAATTCTTAAGACTCTTTACGACATGGGCCTTTCTGGAAATCTTCCTCAAAAACTTTTTGTCGAAGCGCTATTTTCGAGTAAAACTGGGAACTACATTTTCTGATCTCTTCATTCAGGCTGAAGGCATTCCTCAAGGCAGTGTTTTAAGTGTCATACTTTTCATTATCCATGTTTTACACATTTTGAACATACTGCCACCTTCTGTATTTGGTTCACTTTATGTTGACGATCTGAATGTGTCATGTACAGGCTTTGACATGTGCGTTATTGAGCGTCAACTGCAGTTGGCTGTGAATAAAATTGTGGAATGGTGTGAGCAAAATGGCCATACCCTTTGACCTACTAAAAGCTCTTGTCTCCAAAAGTAAAAAAAAAATTCACTTGATCATTTTCTGATGAAAAGTTTGAAAGCTTGCTTTTAATGTAAAAGTAATTTCTCTTTTAACTGTTATGAACAAAACTTTGATAAAAATTTCCAATGCAAAGCCAAATCAGCTACTTACGTTCAAAATATGACCATATAATAATTCTGTAAAATAATTACTTAGAATTATGTAATTTTTTTTAATCTTGAGTGTTTATACTTAGGTGGTTTAAAAAATCTTTGGACTAAGATTTATATACATATTTTTTGCTGTGTTAAATGTAATTGCTTATATTATTTTAGATTTTGCATTTCTCCTTCTGACACACATGTATGTGCATGATATATCAAAATTTTTCATGTAGCCTAAAAAAAATTTCTAGTAAAATCTCCTTTATTTTATCTCTCAATAGTTGGCATGTATGTCCTTTATTGCATCTTTCTATTCTTTTGACTAATGAGAGTTCACTGCTTCTTATGTTTTAGGGATTTCAGTGAAGTACATCATAATGCTTAGGAATTCTTAAATTTTTAAATTTTTTCTGGATCTCAAACTCTAAGCGGAAGCTTCCTTTTCATCTGAATTTTTAAAATTGAGATTTAAAATGAATGAGATTAAATTAATTAAGATTAAAAGTGAGGGTTTAAGATGATAAATTTGTAGTGATAATTCAAATTTAACTTCCCAAGCTTAAAGTTTAGTAAAATTTTGAGATGGATATTGAACGTTTGAAATTTAGAAATTAACTCTTGATTTTGAAGGATTGTTAGTATTGTAGTGCAGACTTTTAAAATTTTAAGGTTTGATAAGTGTTATTAAAGAAAATATTTGATTGTAAATTTTGAACTTGTAAATATTTTTATTGATTTTGAAACGTGACTGTAATTTTAAGGTTGTGATTAAGAAAGTTCGAAAGATAAAGTTTTAAATTTAACTTTTTGGAATTGGTGTTAAAGCTCTGTAATTTTAAAATTTGATGTATAATGCTATTGAATTTTAAATTTCGAGTTATCAAATTTGAAATTTAAGTTGCAATAGCTTTAACTTGTTTTGATAGTTTAAAGGTTTACTGCTGAATGTAGTTACTAATAGTAAATCTGTAGATAACTTCAGGTTTTTGAAACGTTAAAAATTTTGTAATAGACAATTTTTGATTTTTTCTTTGGGAAAAACTGGTGTTAATAATTTGTTTCTTAAACTTGTTGAATTGTCAAATATTTTTCTTGCCTATAAATTGTAAAATATTGTCTAAAAATTTGATTGCTTTTTCTAGTTTCTGAAAAATAAGTTTAAATATATGTTGTTATGCATGTGTTCTTTTCACATAACTTATGTTTGAGTGCTTTTCATATTGACTTTTTTTCTAGTGACTGTGAGGTAATAATAATATTTATATTTGAGTTAAAATTTTTAGATTGTTTATAGTCAAATGTAAATATTAGATTAAATTTTCAGGCATAAGATTGGATAAAATTAACATGCAATTATAAATTTAATGTGAAATTCTATAATTTATGATTTACAAAGATAACTTGGGAATTTTTTGAAAACTTAAAGTTTTAGATGTTTGAATATGTTGAAATTAGAAGTGTAATTTAATTGAAATTTTAATTTTGATCTCTATATATTTAAGATTTAAATTTTAAGGGGAAAGTTTCTTGGAAAAATTCTAAGTAAATGTGCATGTTTTTAGTACTTGGAATTTAGTTATAGAAATTTATACAGTTAAAGCTGTGAGTTGTTTATTAAATTATAATTAAAATGTCATTAAACGAAGGGAAGATAAACAATAAAAAATATTATGTGTATAATTTGATTAAAATTTGATGTATGATGAATTGATAACATAAGTTTTCTTAATTCATCTGTGCTAAATTGTAGATGTTATGAACAGATTTTTTTGTTGCTTCAAGTTAAGTTTTGAGATTTGATGAATTAGTATCATAAATTTATTGAATTCATGTATAGTTGCCTAGTAAGCTTAACTTTGCGTATCTAAATTCTTGGAATTCTGTGTGAGCAACCTATGAGTGATCATTGTATATAATGTCTACTATGAGGAACATGAGTAGTAAATTTTCTTAAAGTTAGTATTTGATGCCTGATACCCTCGTGGTATTTTATACTAATATGTAATTATATCCAAGCTAGGACTTATATTTGTAGTCTAACCAACTATACTGTTAAACTAGGTATTGTGAGAGAATCATAAAATAGAATTTTGGGATCCATCATTTGAAGTTTTACTTGAATGTATATATTCATAGTAAGAAAATTTAAAATTAAAGTTTAAGTAAAAGTCTTAGAATGTGATAGGGTATAGGAAATTACGAATTTTAATTTCTTTGCTTTGGCTTTTACAGCTATTTTAAATGTATATGAATGAACTCATCTCTACTGCACTCACTCTTTCGCTGTTTTAGTTTTCAACAGCCTTTCTAACTATGTAACTCTGTCACTGCCATGGCACGTGAATATTTGTCATGCTGTTTTAAGTTTAATGTATAGCTTTTGTGACTTGCAGGTTAGGTTTTTAATAATTTACAAAAGCATAACATTTTAATTATCTTCAAACCTTCATCTGTTTGTTAGAAATAACCACTCTTAGCTACCAACAGCTAATGCTGAAGTGCATTAGATAAGTTCCTTTTCGTAATTTTTTCTTATAACAGCATTAACATGCAAATCGCATGCAATGAGAATGTTTCTTAACTCTATTTATCACTCACTTTTCATAGACTAAAAGATAATTAATTTAATTTCTGTTTTTTTTTTTAATTATCTTATTTGCATTATTGCAGTGGCGAGAATTGTCTTTGAAATTACTTGATGTTATCCATATTGGAGCTGTAAACTGCGAAGAAGATTGGATTTTATGCCGACAACAGAATGTACATTCTTATCCATCTCTCATACTGTATCCTAGAGTGAGTAATTTATGAAAAAAAAATTTCAAGTATATAGTTTTAAATTTACCAATATACTTATTTGCTACTGAGACATATTTGTTCTAAAATATTTCTATCAAGGTTAGTAACATACAAGAAAATAGATTCCTTGAGCAGGAAAGCAACCAGATAGTATTCTAAACTGTGTTTGAGGTTGACAGTTGAAGGATCAGTTTTTTTCAGTTAATTTTTATTATTAAACATAAAGATTAGAAATCGGATAAGAATTATTTAAAATTGGAACAAAACAGTACTTTTTTTTTAACAAAATTAGATTTTTTAAAAAAAAATCTGTTTTCTTCTTTCACTTTTTAGAACCATTTTAATCAGAGGTGGGTTTTTGGCATCAAAACTGGTTTTTGACATGACACGTCAAAAACCTGGGACATGTTTTTTTTTTGTCATTGAGGACATTTTGTTATATAGTAAATTATACACAAAAATTGCATTATATACTGCCATAATTATTATTTAAAAATATATATAATGTATAAAAAATATAGCCAAAATTATTGAAACTATTAATTGGTTATTATAAAAACATGGCACTCATAATACTTTAAGATCAATATTATCTGCTATATTAGAACTATTCAGTTTTTATTACAGGTAATAACTGAGTTGTTAATTATTATCAATCTAAATACTGATTTTAATTCTTTATGTCACAATTTAGACAGACTTTTCAGATTGAGTAAAACTGATATATGGGGAAGCAAAATATGTTCAATCATGTGAGCAAGGTTTTGGGACAAAATTGAGGCATCCCTGGAGAAATTTTTGATTTGAAAAATTTCCTACAAAATATTTTGTTAAAAAATGTGTAACATGTCATTTTGAGTATTTATTAGTTATAATTCTCAAAGTTTATGAGTGATAACTTAATTTAATAAATTATTACTTTTTCATTATATTTTGGTTTCCATTATTTTTAACACATATGCTCATCTATTCAAGAATTGTGTAAAAATCAAAGGGATTTTTTTCTTTGTCTTTATTCCGAAATATTTTGAAAAGTTAATTGTACTAATAGTTAATTGTACTAATTTAATAGTTAATTGTACTAAACGGAAAAAAAATTGTGAGGAAATATCAGGCTCTAAGAATATTCTGTGCTCTTGCTTATATGCGCATGAATATTTCTAGTAATATATAACTATTATATATTCCCTGATAAGTAAACTATTACAATCAAAGAGTTTAGTCGAAGAACTGGCTAAATGACATTTTTGTGAACATGAGTAAGTGAGCTTTAAAGTTTATTATTTCCTTGTTTTTTTTACTTGGCTTAATCTTTATGTTTTTATTACATATAATATATATAATTTTAGTATATATAATGCAAGTAAAGATAAACTATTAACCTGAACATTCATAAAGACTGCAATATTCTTTTCTTTATCAGATGTGTCAATCAAGATAATTGATTTTATTTATTGTTTTTACTTTAAAAAAGCCTTTTGCAGCTGAATGAACACTTTCTTTCAGGGAGAGAAATATCAGGGCTTAAGAGATATTGATAGTATGATGGACTTTGTTTTAGAAAACCTTCCTGATTATTCCATTAAGTTAACATCTGATAACTTCATCAGTACAGTTTCAAGAAATCATTTTCCTGATTCATGGTTAATTTTTTGTTGTGATAACCCAGAAAGTTCAGGTAAGGATTAGGATATTTTGTTGAAAGTTTTGTGTACTGATGTGATGTTTTATTACCCTTACATTTCAATTTTTTTATTGAATAAAATATGCAATTATTCATCATTAAATTGCTAATGTGTGTTATAGTTCTTACAAGATTAAATAAAATGTTAAATGTGCAATAATAATAATTATAATATTTTTGTTTATTGAAATCAAGTGTTAATATATTCTAGAGCTTATAATTATTTATTTTTGACTTTCTTTTACTTTTTGCTTTTTTTTTTTTTATATAATTGTTAACTTTACATTTGATTTAAGATATAAATTATTTTTATCAAAATATTAAAGTCAGAAATTTAAATCATTTAATGAAATTGAAACAACAATAATTAATGTAATTTTATTGAGATTTCAAATTGTCAAAAATTTCATAAATCGTTTAAATATTTCAAAATATTTTGTTATAATTAATATGATTTAGTGCAATAATTGATAAATATATGAAGATTACCTTTATTTTTTGATAGGCATAAAAATTTGACTATTTTTTTTAAATAAAAAATAATGAATTCTCTAAATGTGGCAGGGTATTTATTGGTCCCATGTTTCTAATCAAACTTTTAGAATTTTCTTGTGTAATTTTTTATAATTATTAACTGAAAGGACAAAAACAGAAAGTATATAAAAAGAGTGAATCCTTTATTTAACAACAGGGTTCCCACGGTCCTTAAAAGTCCTTAAAAACTGCTTAGTTTTTATTTTGAAAATTAAGGGCCCTTTAAAGTACTTAATTTTGATTCACGGTCCTTAAAAGTCCTTAATTTCTAGTATAGCTAGTTGGTAGGAACAATTTTTTTATCTTGGGAAAATAT